TTGCTATGCGGTTGCTTGCTTTGGGCCTTTGCTTGGTCGGATTTACTTTTTGTTCACAAACAGTGCCAGAACTATCTATGCATGTGCATGAAGAGTGCGCACATGAACGAAAACGCGCCAACGCAGTGCGTGCCTCTTGGTCTATGAGGGGAGTTGTAACTTATCGGGGGGGGTCTGGGGGGGCGTAGCCTCCCCCAGCGCCCCACACTTAAGGAATACATTACGGCGACGCTAGCAACTTTGTTACTTAGGTCGGAATAAATTGAGAACCCCCCTAAATGAAAAAAAAATCACTGGAGAGGACGGGGAGAGGAGAGGAGGGAGGGAGAGGAGGGAGAGAGGAGAGGAGGGAGGGAGAGGAGGGAGGGATCCTGAACATTGCCTGCTGCTGCAAAATATTCTTCGGGCACCAATCCGGACACTGCGAGAGGGTTTAGCCAGTGCTCTCGCCTCCACCGCATCTTTCGCACTTTTGTAAAAATCAGGACGCGCTTAGGACGAGCACTTTAATGCCCTGGACGTTCAAGTATTGTAAGTTACTGACTTTGTGCATAAGCTTTTAGGAAAATAGCGACAGATGCATCGGTTTCAGTGCAGCATTAGCCCAGCGGAGCATCTTTTGACAAGTTGGGTGTCGGCTTCAAGGAAGCCGGAAAAAGGGCGGGGCCCCTCTGCATCCGTACAGGCCGGTAGCAAGGGTGGCAAGTGTGACAATTGATGGGTAGTATCAACGCGGTGGGAGATGTGCTTTGTTGCAGCAGTGCTGATGGTGTGAGAGCTAAGCTTGCACCGGCGGAATCGTCAGCACCGCCTGAGGGCTCCACGCGAATCGCATCCATTCCGGGTGCATGCCGCATGGACAGTGCGGCAGACCGCAAGTCGGAATGCCCGTGCGGGCAAATGGTACCGAAAGCTGGGTGAATTTCGGTGCTGTCTGTGATGTTTATCCCCGAAGCGCCAGCGGCCTCAGCAATCCGCCCCACAGCCGCGGGCTTCATCGGGGCACACCGCAAGTCTCAGGAGGCCCCGTGCATTGGCCAAAGTAAATGTACAAACAAGCAGCTTGTGTATTTCATAGAGAAATGAAAGCAAATTATGTTGGCCTGCTGGTGGCAAGTCGGATTGCCCATGCCGGCAAATGGTAACACAAGCTGGGTGTTCGAGTTATCACACGCCGTCATCTCAAAATTCCATTGTGAGATACGCGGCAGCTCTTGGGATGAAATTTAGCGCGAGAGGCGTTGATGTGACTTTTGAGGTCGGTGAATGGAGGCAGCTAAACTTGTTTGTGCTCATACGGTCTTTGTTAGCTACATGCGAGATACCTTGCAATAGAGAATGCTGTATAGTACCGACAACGCGTTTCAGCCGGGTGAAATATTATGTTTGGACCGTTACACACTCATGGCCTGGGAGTTCGAGTTATCATACGCCGTCATCTAAGAATTCAAATATGAGATACGCGGTACCTTTTGAGATTAAATTTAGCGCGAGAGGCGTTGATGTGACTTTGGCCTCGGTCAATTGAGGCAGCCAAACTTGTTTGTGCTTATACGATTTTTGTTGGCTACATGCGAGATACCTTGCAATAGAGAATGCTGTATAGTACCTATAACGCGTTTCAGCCGGGCGAGATATTATGTTTGGTCCGTTACACACACACACACACACACACACACACACGGACATGGGCAATCCTACAGGTCGGGGCCCCCCTGGGCGCTTCGCGCTGGGGCCCCGCCCAAAAATGCTCATGCAAATATCTCCTGCTTGAGCGATATAGTTTAGCACAATTAGCTAAGCATTTGTTTTACAAATGTGCGAAAGATGCGATAGAGACGTAACATTGGCTAACCCCTCTCGCGCTGTCCTTATTGGTGCCCGAAGAATATCCTTCAAGGCAACCACATAATCCCTAAGTCATGCGGGCAAGGCCTTGTCCGCATAAGGTAACGAAAACAACTCCAAATCAAGCTGGATAGGTAGCTAGCTACAAATAGGTAGGTTGATAGCAAGCTAATAACCGTAGATAGATAGATAGATAGCTAATAAGGTAGATAGATGGATGGATAGATAGGTAGATAGATACTCAAGATTTAATCACAAAGCACAACTACACGCAAGAATTGAAGCCTGGGTTTCCAAGGGGAACAACCCTTTGGTTTCCCTTTTCGTTTCCCTAAAAAGGGGACACCTAAAAAGGGCTCCCCTTCAGTCACCTTGTCCCTAAAGGGAATATGATGACATCCCTTTGGGTTCCCCCTCCGGGCTTGTTCCTAAAGGAAATGTAAACAACCAAAGGGTTGTTATTCCCTTTAAGGACGGCCCCGAAGAGGACACTCCAAGGGGGTCAGCAACCTTTGGAGGCCCTCTGGGCATGAGGACGAATGGGAATCCCAAGGGGATCAGCGCCACGCTTTCACGGAAGGAAAGGGCTTCTCTCCACTCCGCGAAATAGGCTTCCCCGAAGGCTTCCCCGAAGGGGTCAGCCAACGAAGGGTTCAGCCAACGAAGGGTTCAGCCAACGACGGCGTTTTTGAGGGGGAAGTCCCCAGAGGGATGTCTTCTTCAGTTCAAGTAGGGGACGAACCAAAGGTCATCCCCCCAGGGTTGTCATCATTCCCTTTAGGGGCAAGGCTGCCCGTATTAGCCGCCAGCTAGCTAGCTAGGTGTACAGCACGCGAAACCCAAGAATAGCGCGACAGGGCTGCTTATGGAAGTCAAAGTTGGCCCGGCGGGGCTACTACTACTTGCGAACCCAAGGCCGAAAATCATGACTAGCCCGAGGGATTCGCCCATGGCCCGAATGAAGCCCCAATTGGCGCGTCCCGCCCAAGACGATAACATCCTGATGCCACCATGACCACGACCCGTTTCGTATCAGGCCCTTCGAGCCTCCCAGCAGCCTTTGCTACCCTTCGACGATAACATCCTGATGCCACCATGACCACGACCCGTTTCGTATCAGGCCCTTCGAGCCTCCCAGCAGCCTTTGCTACCCTTCCACAATCCTTAACGAAGACGTGATAGAATGTCCATGAAGAGTCGGCTAATTCGCATCGCGGGCTATCCACGAGCCATGGACAGCAAAATTCCCGCAAGATGGCACTTTAAAAAATCGATACAACTCTTAGCGACATATGTCGCACACCAGGTGCGCTAGAGCGCTCTAAAGCTGTTTGCGATGTTCGGGTTAGCTGCGCCGGGGATTTCCATACACCGCTAGCCCTTGGTGCACAATATTTTTTTATTATTTTATTCCTGTGCCAAAACATCATCTGCGAGACGCTGCGAAGGCCGAGGACGCAGCTGTCCGAATGCCGACAGCTTGCCCAACTGCCCCGAAAGAAAGCACACCATCCTGCGATTCTCGCACGTTTCCATTATGCCAACAGCATCATGAAAAACGCACCGCAACAAAAACATCAGCCGCGTCCCGAACTCGGTGCATTTAGCGCACAAAAAGGTTCTGGTGCTATCCGTTCAGCCCTCTGCCCACGTCCCATACCGGAAGAAAAAAAAGCATGTTCATTCAACGTCCTCCGAGAAATCCGATTTCTATCACCACTCCAGAGATCTCAAGAGCGAATCAACAAATGCTCGCTCGCGTAACTGCACCTCATCCTCGCTTCACACCCAGAACACTTCCTCGAGATAACCTCGCAAACAGCGCTATCGTGCCTGGTTTTTAAATTAAGGCAAATCGCAATAAGAAGCCGAAGAACTAAGGGACCTACACAACCGGAGACACGATATCGCTGCGTCCTTCCTTCTTCATTTTGCTCCCTACTTCACGACTCATCTCCCCAACTCGGCTCCACGCGAGGACATTTCCCCTTCAGTGCTGCCGGCGCTTCCACATCTCCTCTCGCGCACATGTGCTCCTGTGTACCATACCCCATTCAACAACGTATCTAGCCGGTCTTCCTTTCTTCCCTCCTCCTCTCTCTATCTTCTATGCAACTCCGCGTCCCGCTGTACGACATACGTTTATACACGCGGACAAAACCGCGTGCCGATGCCAGCGTGTGCCGCATTGCTTTCCCCTACCCCCCTCCTCGGAGCATATAAAAACCACCACTTCGCAATCTGAAAAATGCACTTCGGACGACCCATGCATAACACAAATATACGACAGGGACCAACAGGACCCTTAACAACGCACGAGCAACACTTGCAAGTGAAGCACGATAACAAACGAAACATATGTATGCACACACACACATATATATGAGCATAGGTGTTGATTTTTTTTCCAAAAAACTCAGTTCTGGTGCGCGTGCGTGTGCGTGTGCATCATATTGCAGTACATACACATGCTCTGCTGTATTACCTCTCTTATTACTACTGCTGCTGCTACTGCCAATCTGATTGACCCCACTACAGCCACTACAGCGGCTCCTCGGATGCCTCTTCGCCTGCTACAGCGTCGCCAGTAGCGGCCCCTACTGGCGCCGCAGTAGCCAGTCGCTGCTGCGTCGAATGGAAACTCCCCGAGTGGTGCTATGCCCAAAACCCAAAGTCAGCCGGAGCCATGATGAATGGCGCCTGGCAGGGAGGGCCCCGCGAGGGCCGCACTAAACGAGGGTTTCGGCGCCCAGCGTGGCGGTGCTCGGCAGCGGCTCGGATGCTGACGGCGGCTGCTGCTCCCTCTCCTCCATCTCAACCTCCTGCTCCTGCTGCTATGCTTTGCTATTGTTGCTGCCCCGTTGTGGAAGCTCGTGTTGCGACGACCCTGAAAGGTCCCCCGACCAGGCGGAGTGAGTCGACCGTGAAACAGACCCGTAGGGGGCCCCAACATGCCCCGCCCCCTCAGCAGTTCCGCCGCCGCCGCCGCCGTCGCCGCCGCCGCTGCCGGCCGCAGCGGCGGCGGCAGGTCCTGGCGGCGGCGGCGGCGGCGAACGCAGCAGCGACGGTGGTGGCGGCAACGGCGCTGCCGCCACCGCAGGCGCTCCAAAGGGGGAGCCGCCGCCGCCGCCGCCGCTGTGCTTTTCGCTTCGAACTCTCGACTCCAGTGCGCGAAGATGTACATAAATCTGCCGTACATAAATAGCCGCAAGCACACACGCACTTTCATGCAGCTGTATCGCGGGTGGTTGGAAGATGGTTGGAAGGTGTGGCTGTACTCTGGTAGTGGAGCCTTCCTTGGGCGCTGCCTGTAACGGGCTGTCGCTACTGCTAGGGCTACTGCTACTACGGCTGTTGCTACTGTTACTACGGCTGCTGCACTCCGCAACTAACAACACACTCTGTACGGCGCACCATGTACAGCTGCGTAGATCCGTAATATGGCAGAGCAGTTGAAAAGAAACCCAAGGGAAGCTCAGAAGGTCCCCACCTGCTCAAAAGTGGGCCGCTCGTCCGGATCTGGACGGGTGCACTGCGTGTACAGCGGCTGTAGCAGCGTTGCAAACTGACCCGCGGGACACTGCTGTGGCCATGGCGGCCGGTACGCGGTCTCAGCAATCTTGAGAAGAAGGGGCACTGTCCCGTGGTATACACATGTCACGTGTTGAGAAACAAAGAGAGAGTGAGAGAGCGGAAGGGAGCGGGAGAGAGAGGGGGAAAGGGGGGGGAGGGGGGAAGAGTGAGAGAGGGAGGAGAAGGGAGGGGGAGATTGAGAGAGAGAGAGAGAGAGAGAGAATAGATGGATGGATGACAGGTTGGTTTACTATCCGGTGACAAGGGAGTTATAAGTTCCACACAAGTGCGGTGGCGGGGGCGGGGGCCGGGGCCGACCGTAAAAGCCCTCCAGGAGTTGGGGGAGGGGGGGGGTCTGGCCACCTGTGGACGGTCATCAAAAGGAAGGCATCAGACGAGGTCCTGTCGAAATGTTCGTTAGAGGGCATTTAAGAGCTCTCCTTACAGGGCAGCAGATCAGCAGCCCGTGTGAGACGGTTTGTCTGGAGCAAACCGACTTTGACTAACCAGTAAAGGGCACAGAGAGGACATTGGGAAACGGGAGCTGCTTCCCACCATACGCGAGAAACTCACGAACAAACTCCCGGCGTCAAAAAACTCCAAAGCGACGGTAGCGACGGGATGGGGGAAGGGGGCTCAAGCGGAGGACGGCCAAGGGGGGGGGGGGGAGAAGGCAACACATGTCCCTTGCACTTCCCTCCGCATTTCCATTGAAGACAAAACAAATTTCGAGAACAAAAACTACGATCAGCGACCAGGTCGAAAGGTCCTGTTCCGCACACAAACACAAAGGCGTCTTCTGCGTGTATTAAGAAAAAAATGAAGTTTTCTGTCGTACTGTCCGTACCCGTGAGCTCCCCGGCGAAGGGTGGCTGCGGCGCCGAAACCATGGTCAGGAGCAGCAGACCAAAGGCCCATACGTCTGCCTTCATGGACGGTCCATGACGTAAGGCCTCGGGGGAATTGTACAGCAATCCCGTACTGGTTGCTGCCGGGCCCTTGTCGTCTAAACAGCTCCCCGAAAAGCAGGCGTCCGCCAGCTGTGTATATGTATGTATGTATGTATGTGCACGTGTGAGACATGGAGGGGTCCCATGGGAGGGGGAGTAGGTGGGGAATGGGGTAAAGTCGGGTTTTTAGGAAATTCATCCAAGTTGGTCAAAGCCGTTCAACATATCAGCTTTGTGATGTAGTGCTGCAATGTGAACGGCCGTAAAATGGGATTACACTCAACCTCAATGTTGCGGTTTACGTGGGTGTACGGCATTGGAGGACAAGACAGAGGATCGTGATGGGAAAAGGGTAGGTTACCGGAGCAGTGTTTACGTTTTTTTATCGTGTTTTCTTTCCAAAAGGAGCCTTTGTCGGCACATCCTAAGAAATACATCGGAAAAAATATGGAGAAACTCTTGAAACTTCGTAAAACTGGAAAAACCTAACAGGAAAAAAAATTTAACAAAACTTACCTTGACCTCGAAGTACCGTAGATCCCCTCGCGATGGCGCCAACAACACGTTTGTCGGTTTAACACCGCCATGTACGACACCCCGGCGGTGCAAGTGCGCCAACGCCGCCGCCACCTCCCGTGCGCAACGCAGTACGGCACGCGCGGCCATGTACGGTGGCCATCGACGATTGGGGCGAAACGGGTTGTACGACAAGGACAATAGTGACGCCAGATCGCCCTACGATTGGACAACGGCAAGGGAGACGTGACCCAGGGGTCGGTGGGTGTGTGGGTGGGGGTGGGGTGGGGGGGAAAGCGGTCGATCGATATTCACATGTTGCGGCACGGCGCAAGAGAATGCAGCTTGTCTCCGTACGTTCGTACGTCCGTATGCCTTTAGCTATCGCATGTACGACCACCACCTCACCATCTCGCAGTGTTCCATAAACATAACGGCTACATGCTCTCCGGGCCGCGGCCGCACCGCCGCCAGTGCCAGGCGCCTCGGTGACGTCGACGTCTCCCTCCTTGGACCACTCCCCACTCGCTGCGGTGGCAGAGACAGCGATTGCGACGGCTGTAACGGCTGTAACGGTTGCGACAAATATCGTCTGGGACCGTCAACGCGGTCGCCTCGTACGACATGAGGTCCAATTCCTAGGTCGCATCCAATCGGCGTTGGCGCCGCCGCCGCCGCCGTCGCTGCCGGAGTCGTCGCTGTCGTACCATCATTTTTCCTCGTGAAGTCCGATGCCGGTAGTTCGCCGTGTACGGCGCTTGCCGACTGACGTGGCAGCTGCTGCTGCTGCTGCAGTGCCCTCATCCGCTGAATCGTCCCGTTCGTCCCGTCTGCACGTATTCCCTCGCTACTGGTACTTCCGTTCACTGTGTACAAAATACGGCAGGGTATTGTACGGCACGTACAAAGAACCTCCTCGGGACCCAAGCATCTGAAAACCGGCATGCAAGAGTGAGGGGAAACACGCGCGAACCTGGGACACACTACAAAACACATACACTACATACATACTTATACACGCACAAACGTGTCCGGGGACAACGTCGTGATGGGTTGGCGGGGCCGCGTGGGGACCATCTCTATTTCCAGTGAAGCGGGGCGGGGGATCAGGGGCCGTGCTAAAACCGTGGTGGTGGTGTGCACATGGCTAACTTCACTTTTTTTTACTTAAAATCGCATAAATATATATACTTATGGTGTAAATATATTTTTATGGTGTACTTATGGTGTATATATATAATATTTATTTACGGAAGTGTGAAAAAAATTGGGAAAGATGATTTTGATTATTTTGGCATTAAATTAGGTTATCCGGTGTATTTTTGAACGAACCAAACATCAGCCAATATTTCCTGCCATCGCACCCGCGGCCTTGGGCGACGTTGGACCTGTCGTCGATGTTCTCGACATAGTCGAATTCGCACACGGCGACGATGGCGTTGCAGACCCCCCCGCCGTTGCCACCGCCGCTACTGGCCCCGCCGCCGACAGCTGCAGCTGCTGCTGTCGTACGGGGTTCCTCGACGCCATGTACGGCCTGTCCACTAGGGCCAGCGCCTGGGCAAAGGCGCGGCTGCTGCGTCGAGGCTCCGGAACCAGCGTCCAAACGGAGGCTTGGTCAACTTGTGCCGTACGGATGTCGTACACGTGGACTAGGTGGCGGTGGCCGGTGGCGGCGACGCGGCGGACGGCCGCTATAGCGGGACCGTCGGGCGCTAGAGAGGCGCTGCACATGACCTTGACTGCTACAGGTAGGCCTCGCCAGTAGCCTGTAGCAGCAGTAGCAGTAGTAGCAACAGCAGTAGCACCAATAGCAGTAGCAAGCGACTGTAGCAGCAGCAGCAAGAACTTTGGTAACAGTAGCAGTAAGCAATATCAAACCATACACACGTGCATACATACATACATACATACATACATACATACATACATACATACATACATACATACATACATACATACATACATACATACATACGTACTTACATACGGAGCTATACCTCATCCGCCCGGCCATTTGGGGCCCCCTTTCCTAGCTTGTCGAAGAAGTCAAAATGGCCTCAAGAATTAGCAGCACACACACACACGCACGCACCTGTGATGACGCTTGAGCGTCCGCTGCCCGTAGAGGGCGGCAAAGGCTGTACGGCATTCTCCAGGTCAGCGAGCAGGCTGCCAAGGGGAAAGCGCGGCATCACTTGGGACATTATATGCGGATCAACACGTTCCGAAACCTCCGCTGTGGGAGGCTGCAGCGGCGGCATTGGGGGCTGTAGCTGCGGTCCTGCACTGCAGCGAGCTGTCGAAGACGGTACCGGTCCTCCGTCGCTCGCACTCGCACTCGCACTCGCATTCGCACTTGCCGCCGCCGCCGCCATTGACGGGGTAGGTCCTAAACTGCTTGACACTGAGGCCCTTGATGCCGCCGCACTGTCTCCCACTGCTGCCGCCGCTACTGATGTGGGGGCAACGGGGTTAGTGCTCTGCCGTACGCCAGCCGTAACAGGCCCATGGGTCATCGCACAACTCGCCAAGCTGGCGTTACTGCCCGGCCTGCCAACGCTTCCAAAGAGACCAGGTGACTCGGAACGGCGGCTGCACTGTGCGGCAATGGTGTCCCGTTTGTCGCAACCACCCGTCGGCGGCTCTGGCGCCGTGCTTGAGGCATCTACCGTGGCGGCGGCGGCGGTGGCGGCGGCGGGCCTGGACGAGCAGCCGGCCACCGCCGCCGTCAGCGTGGCGGCATTCGGACGCACTGGGAGCACCGGAGGACCAGGTGAAAAACCGACGTCGCGTGGTGAGCTGCTGTACAAGTTTATGACTGCGGCCGTACAAGTCGGCAGGAGATCGGATGAGGCAGCGGCAGTGATGAGCGGCCGCGACGGCGCCGCCAGCAACTGCCGCGGAAGCGCCACCGTTGCAGCCGGGGACGACGACGGCACCGACGACGTGATGCTAAAGGAATGACGGCCGCCACCGCCGCCGCCGCCTCCCTCGCTGCTGCCAACGGCGGCAGCAGCGCTTCCAGCAGCGGCGGCTGCGGCACTGGACACCGCTAGGACGCGTGAGACACTGGTACCTGAGCTGGACGTACGGCGGAGGTGGCTGTGAGGAAACGGCGAGGGTCGGCGGCGCCGCCCTGGTGCCGCCGGTGCAGCCGCCGGCGCCGCTGCCGGCGCCGCTGATGCGTGATGTACTTTACAGTACGCCCCAGACCCGGCCGACCGCCGCGGTGATGACGATGCTGTGTTGCTCGTGGTGTTGGAGGCCGTCAAAGCCGGGGCAGCGCCGGCGGTGTGTATCGTACTGCCGTACACGCCTGGTGTTGAGCTGGGGCTCGTGCGTGCACTGGCGGCCGTATGCATGTGGTGTGGCCCAACGATTTCCCCGGGAGCTCCCCCCTGACCTCCCGGGTAATCTTCACCGCTGGCGTCGTCACTGACTCGCCGTCTGGTCATGTCTTGTGTTCCGCTTGCATTTGTTGTATTGGCGATCGCGATGGAGCACGCGGGTGATGTTAGAGCAGGGGGCGTGGAGAGAAGCGTGGCGCCGCTGAGCGTGCCAGTGTTTGTAAATGTCGTAGTAGCGCCGCCGTCGGAGCGAAGCAGGCCTCGAACACCTTCCAGCATGGCATCTACGACGGATGCCTGGTCGTGGCCCGGCTGAGACCAGGAGCGGCGGCGGGAGGGATGCCATGGCGGTGCGAAATGGATAGTTGTATCGGCGCAACCTGCCGGCGCCGTTGAGGTTAATGCTGGACTAGGAACTTCGATTGTCACCAGCGGCATCAAGTTGGGCTGTAAATCGCTTCCTGACGGTCGAACTGAGGCAAACGTTTCCGCGGGCAGCAGCAGCATTCCGTTTCCAAGCCGGCTGTCCTCGATGTCCGCCGCATCGCGCCTTGCTGGCGCAGCAACCGTTGAACCATCAGAATGCGCGTTCACCGACAAGCAGCACGCGAAAAAACGGCGCACTTTGGAAGCGGTTGTGTCTCTGCGCTGCATGGCCAGCTGCCGCTGTCTCCGTAGCGCTCTAACTATGACGCTAGAAATACCAGCACGTCAAATTTGTCTTTTGATTTACGACCAAACTTAAAAGAGTCAAGTCCTGGTCGGTGCGGTAGCATAAAACGATTCTCCGAAAAGCCTGGTAGCCACCGGCTAAGGGAAAAGTCAGTACAATACAGGCTTCCATCCAGGGTGGCGCGGCATTACGTGCACTGTCCCTGAAAAAGGCGATAGAAATCACGGCGAAACAGAAGGTGAACGTCGGCGCATGGCTCCCTTACTCGTAATTTAACATGACTTAATACAACTCCTCTTTCATATATTCATCGTCGTGTGGTTTACTCAACGGCAAACCAGCGCAACCCGCCCACTCGACAACGGCACAGTAACGCTTCCACAGAGGTTAATAATCCAATATCCGCCATGTGGTACAAAAACAATAATCATCTACTGCTTGCCGTTGCAAATTTCGCTTATAGCGTAGGTAGTCCCGGTTCAACGGCTTGCAGCGTTCACGCCGACATTATGAGTACCGGATGGCCGAGCGACAATAAACCTCTTGCATAAAGAGAAAGAGGCAATAGTTTAGGGAGATGATTGATAGGATTTTGAACCTGAAATATTGTTTTCAAGAAGTCTGCTTCTGTCTTTAACCGTACGGGCTCCGCCGCAGTCCGTCAACACGGGATGGACATGTTTCGCATATTACACCTCCAAGAAAGAAAAGGAAACCTTAAGTAATTCACTCATAAATAGAGTTATGCATAAGGCAAGCTGGGGCCTGGGTTTAGTTTGAGAGCAGGTGAGCATGGTCAGCCTTCACAAATGGCCAGCTGCTGCCCAAGGCTGGTCCTAACTACATGCATATATCTTTCCAGCACCAGCACCTTGTGAATGCAGGTCCGCTTATATCTCCGTAACATTGCTGTGTTAGCGTACGTCTTATGCATTCCAACCTGCAACCAGGGCCGAAACTGACCAAAGGACGCGAGTTAGCATCAGAAGCGTAATCTGATAGCATCAGGCACTTGAGCTACACAAATATGTCGCTCTGCGCCAGGGCCGCAGATACAATCAGTCGGTGGGTAATCATCATTACCGCGTCAGTCCGACTGCAAGATGACGAAGTATTGCGAAGCTCCTAAAACCACGCCGAAGTCCTGGAACCTTTCCTGAATTGGATTGCAGATTGGAATGGCAGCGCGCTTTGTAACCCGATTAACACATAAACCCGACGTATAATCCCATTTGTCTATTTACGTCCCAGGCGGGGTTGCCTTGGTTTGGGGCAATCGTTCTACGGCCAGATGTTCAGCGCATTATGACAGGGTTGACATGTCTTCCCCGCGTTATAGATATTGATGGTTATCCGTTAGTTCCTTATGTATGGTGTTGGAGTTTGCCTCTGTGGGGAAACCCTGTTCTCCCGGCAAAGAGATTGGCTGTCCCGTAAGTTAACATCCGCCCAGGACTGGAGTTTCAACACCAAGTGATCCTGGGATGTAAGGCGCTGCAAATGTTGGGGGATTTTCTTCTTGCGCGGGATGCTCTAGAGGTGCTTATGCACGCACCGGACCAGGCAGGTCTAGCAATGCGCAGGGCGTGGCATCAAACCGTGGGCCAAAACGCCACCTCCAGCCACGGACCCCACTAGCCCAATCCCTTTGAACCTTTCAGAGTATTTGGAATGAGGCGAATGAGTCTTCTAGTGCGATCGTTGCTTTCCTAGATGCTATCCGGGCTGATTGGCGACAGGCAGCCCGTCGCATGTCATGCCTTTCAGTACAGACTCTATAGCAGCCATCGATGGTGCCGTACACCTAGTCTGTTACCCAAAACCTGGTGTCAAGGTTAGGTTGTCGATGGGGTGGGTGCGGGTATGGCGAATCTTCAACGGGATCTTCAGTATTGAACCGATATTACTACAAACCGATATACAAGCCACCTAGATGTTGACACACAAGCACAGATAGCTGAAACTTCCGGGCACAGATCTTGCGAGGGAGCTGTGCACACAATTACCAAGTCTTGCCTTGCCTTGTCTCACCACGCGAACGGCGATGTCGTACAGCCTAGAGGCAAACAGGGGAAAAAGCAAACTAACCACGCAAGCTAAACAAAGTCGCTCGCTGCACACGCGCTTGCGGATGCTGGTGGTGCAAGCCGATGCTCGCTGGTGCACGAACTGATTAGGCAACGGTTCAGCTGCATCTCGGTAGCAGCCGCAGAAGGCGGTGCGTTTGGGACAAAAGCCGCTGCTGCGGTCGGGTAAGTGAGGCACGAATGCGTGTCAGGCAACAGGGGAAAGCAGTTAATTCCGGAAACCCGCAGTGGCGACCTGTCGAGTTGAAGGCGGTACGTGTTCGTGAAGGTAGCGGCTGGGAAAGGCTGTGCATGTAGGATTAAAGCAGCGGCAGTAGTTCACTGAGAACAATTAGGTTCCTCTCCTCGTCAAACTGTAGGCCGGGTAGGGGAACGGAAACTACAACCCTGAGAAGTGATGAATCAGGCTGGAAAGGTCAGCAACAGGGAACGCTTGGTAGTAGCAGAAGACAGCGTGCGGGATGAGAGTGCCGCCTCGTGAGGTAGAGGGATATTCTAAAAGCAAGTCCTAGGTCGAGCGGCAGGAGCCGCCAGGCGAAAAAGAAGCCTACAGTGATGCAGGTGCGGTCCGATACCACTAGAGTTCCTTAATAGGCAATAGCATTTCTATACTAGATTGAAAAGCAGATTCGGCATTTCCTTGTGTGTGAGCCCATGGCGTTGCTGAGGCAGACGAAGCCATTTATGCCGCATGCCACTTCAATGTACTTACGCTTACATGTCTTGGCATAGACGGATATGACAGGGCTCGGACAACCTAATCACTTATGTTCTCGCGTTCGTATATGGGCGATTTCTTGCGACTTACGATTTGCGACTTGCGATTTGCAGCTTGCGAGTTGTAAGCCGCACCTGCAATTTGTTTTGCAACCAGCCACATCACTAGCGACAACACCATCACTAAAACCGTACTCGTGTTATCGCAGGTTGCATTTAAGCATGCGGATAACGTCCGCTTTGTTCGTTAAAAATTTATCGTCCGCTTTCCGCATTACCGGTTTTACTTCTTCTCTGTCGGCTTCCGGCCGAGCTGTACAGTCACGCGTTTTAGGGGGTGTTTACACTTGGATTTAAAGCCGAGGATTAAGCTTAATCCGTTGCATATGGAAACATCGCACAGATTAGGGGGATTAAGATTGGCGCGATGAGTTACCGTAGTGACAGGAAATGTTCGTGATTTTAATTCCGTGACGGCATCACGAAATTATGTCACATATAAATTACAAGCTTTTCCAGGCGATGATCGTTACGAATATATGTGTGCTCCGAAGCCAAATCGTACAATGCCACGCTTTATTCCGTTGGATTCTATGCGTAAAAGATCGTTTGCTTCCGGTAGTAAATGACAAGTTATACGAGATACTTTATACGGAATCTGGTGTTTGCTGGTGAGCAGAATAACCGTGCATGCATTGGCCAGCTTTTGCGTCAATCGGCGTTCTGAGTCGGACCCATTAACGAACATTGCAGGCACCGTTGCTTCGGTTGCGTTGGCTTCTTACGAATTCAAAAGTTTCACCAGTATTTTCGGGTGTAATTTTGAGGGTGTCTCGAACAATAAAATCACGAACATTTCCTGTCACTACGGTAGTCTAACTTTCTAAGAAATTTCCGCCCGTATTCGCGCGCTTTGCGGATTAAACATAGATTAATATGCTATGAAATGCGTGCATTCTTCCTATACTAAAAGCCCAAACTTGGTGGGAAACGTTTGCTGTGGCCACCAGGTATCAATTTGACAATCTCGGAATAACACTCGGATTAACACTACGACGCCTCATAAAAAGCTAGGTCGGAAGGTTATCCTTTATAACGGCTCTAGTTGTTCCCAGTTTTGTGGAAGCTTTGCGCTTCTTGTTCGGTATTATACACCACACCGTGGGTGTCGTTCGGAGATGCTGCAAGGCCTTCACGTTGATACTCGATACTTTTAAATGTTGTCTCGAACAATAAAATCACGAACATTTCCTGTACTACGGTAATCCAGACGTGTGAAACATTCCTCGTGGATTACCGGCGGATTGGCGTGGATTAAAAATACCTTAATCCGTGACTTTTAATCCAAGTTGAAACACCAAAGTGCTTGGACGCATCTAAAACCGTACCTGCAAATTTGTCAATGTGGCATTTAGGTCCCAATGTGGGCCTTACCACGCGAATCTAACGAGAAATGGATTCCCGTCCTACTTGACAAGATAGGGCAAGTAGGTTCCACACGACAAGATTCAGCGAACAAACACAAACGACAGACCCAGCCTACCAAAATCACCGACGCCCCAGGTGCACGGAAACTGCCAACGGTGGAGGGGGATAAACACTTTGCTGGCTTCCCTTCACCTTTCCCTTCACCTACCGATAAGCTACCATTCCATCGGTTACCGGCCGGGACAAAACTCGATTGACCGTAACGGAATGTGAGTGTGTGTTACATGGTTGGGGGTGCGTGACCCCATACCTGTAAAACTACCCATACGAGCTGAAGGCCCAAGGACAACGGAACGGAATGTAAGGGAAAGTGCCTAACCATGCATAGGAAGTGCCTTGTCTATACCTGGTTCAATGAAGCAACCCGACCTGCCTGCTGAGCTGCTGCGTGCTTCTGTGCTGGCTGATGCACGCTGACAGATGAAGTTTTTTCCTAACAAGACTGCCCAGCCATGTGTACACCTTTAAATTTGGTTTAACATACGCTGTACAGTGGAAATTTGGACCAAGCTCACAAACAAGTTCCAGCAAACCGAGCCATTCATACATGACACCGCCCAGTAGTCTTAACGAAGAGCTGTATACTCTCTGAAGAACTATAAAATTTTGAGGTTGCAACTTGCTGTATATGGAACCAACACCTATACCTACATCCCGGCCACCGAGCCCCACATCTCGGCTCAATGTACAGGACAGAGTTCAACTGACCCTGTTAGCCCTAACACTAACCAACATAACTTACTTCAAAAGGCTTTGGCGTACGGCGACAAGATGAGAAAGACGATGATCAAACCCAGCCGTGTAAACTCAAATTTGCTGACTTGAAAGTGAAACTCGTCAAACTATAAAGTTCCCGGAAGACGGGCTATATGCCCTCCGCCTTCCGCAACATCGTTACAGGTGCCCCTCTGCATTTCCCCGTCCTCACACCTTACTATTACGCTATACCGTTCGGATTCATTCTGCTGTGCGATAAAAAGATGCCAACCCATTGCGGTGACACACCGCTATTAGCACTAGCACTATTACTGTGCTGTTGGCCATTAATCGGTGGGTTGGAGCGTTTGCCGCTATTTCCCCCCTCCAATACCTCACCCTAACTTAAGAGGTAAGGTCCCTTCTGCCCCACTAAGAGAGTTAACTGATTCACCAACCTTGCTGGACGACACAGCCGAAGTTGGTTGGACGTTAGTTCATGAGCTTTAGACTAATTATTCATATCTTGTGTTTGTCCATTAGCCACGCTTAGCTGAAGCTCGATTGAGCTCAAATTAGTAACTGATAACGCATTCGTACCGCGCTTCGCCTTAAGCAGCCTTCACGATCCTTCTTCGTTGTTCGTCAGGTTTGTCAAAGTGTGGTATGTTACTCTGACGCTGCGCACATTATGCCGTGATATTGTGTCGCACACAGGTATCCATCAGTTTGCTAACCTCCTACAGGAAACCCTAACTGAAGTTCGGGTCTCACATCGTGTGTGTGCCGTATTATCTCCGGGCAAGCCAAAGCACAAAATACACAAGCATGCACACAGGCACGATTGCATGGTGCAATTCCATGCCGCCAGCCATACTCCCGCTTCCCCCCCTCCTCCTTTTCTTCTCACGCACATGCACACATACACACACGTTCACAAATCCTCTCAATCCCCGACGGCCATGCTCTCCCTCTCCTCTCCCCTTCCTCCTCCTTCCTTGACATAGCGTGTTTGCCATGGTGGTTTTTTTGTATACTACATTCCTCCTCTCCCCACAACTAGCCCCCACTCTTTGCATACAATTTCCCCTTCCCCACACCCCGGGGCTCGGCGGCACATCTCTGCTGACGTGCTGTATGCGTGTCCGAGCTCCGAGATCCCGAGAAACACCTAGAAAAACAAGATAAACCACCCAAGACGTCGCGAAATCACACACGCGACTCTGGTTTACCCATTTCGGGAAGACGCCTCCCAGCAGGCTTCTAAAACACGTGTCCAGGAGCCCCCCCGCAACCCTAGCGGAACCCCAGGAACGCGAGCATTACCACCTTCCCTGAGCAACATTAGGAACTCCGAGCACCGCAAGTTGACTGTCCTGTCGTGCTATGTCTTTCTTACACAACCCCTTCAGTGCGGAACCCCCCTCAGGTTTTTACAAACGGAAGGCGCCCCGCTCTTGTGCGGAACTTAGGGTTCAAATTGTATCTGACCCAAGGCTTTAAAGTTGCAACAGCTTTTTACCGGATTGACGGCTTAAGATTGCAACTTTTATCGGATTCAGAATACAACAACACGCGCGTGCTGCTAAACACGTAGAGAGAGAAAGCATCATTTAATAAAGCACATCGTTGCTCCCGTGATGGGGGCAAATCAGAGAGCTGTGCTGACCTGAAGAGAGGAAAGAGGGAAAGAGAAGCGAACGAAGGGCTCCTTGCTGCCTTAGCTCTACGCGGGCCCCCTCTTAATTAACCCTCCCGAAGTGCAATTGGAGGCGACCTGGATCTGGCAGGTGTACCTGAGGTAATTGCGGATACAGGCGGTTTTACCACACGACGATTAATGCTGCTTTGCTCCTACTGCTACTGCTGATGTGCTTGCCATTGTTTTTAATGTTACTGCTGTTATTGCTACTGGCAGCGGTGCAAATGCTTCAGCTGCTTCAGGGACTGCTGTGCGCCCGCGAGGATGCGACATGTGTTATTGCTGCGCTGGTGGCGCGCTAGTTTGCAGGGTGAGTCCGTGCCACTGCCGCAGATCTTCCGCCAAAATCTTGTGGACCAGCTGGTGCTGTTTTACGATGGACTGGCCCCTGCAGCATCAGCATCAGCAGGTAAGTGGGTTGTAGTGGGTGGGAGTTTAAGACGAATAACTGACGAATGAAGCAGATACCATAGATAGACAGATGGGTGGGAGGGTTGCCAGGTAGTGGTTGTCAGTCAACACTCAAGAAGCAGCTCAGAGGGGTGTGTGTGTGTGTGAGGGAGAGGGGAAAGTGGTTAGGACAAGTGCGGTGCGGTAAGCGCAGGTGAGTTGAGGTCAGGGCAGGTGGCAGGTATCAGGCCGGTGTCGTCAGTTCAGGGCATGGCTTTCGACGACATTCCCGTTGAAAGGAAAGGGCTACACACAGAATCGGGCCACACAGTATTGCGGGTAGGATTCTTGATATGCGAACTAGGAGAAACGAGAAACAGTACGGAAACGTTGATACTGTAATCGCAACTCTGCCACGTCAGTGGGGTAGCGTGCGGGCGGGACATCGGACACAGTGGGAGGTCGGGAGATCGAGATTGGCGCTTGGAAAGGAGTTGTGGGTTAACAACAGGGGAGCTAAATAGGACCCATGAGGCCGCCGATTTTCCATAAGACCTGGTTTCACAGCCCCTCAGTGGCGCCCTAGTGAATTAAAAGGGAAAATGGTACGCCCACTCCCGGAAAAGCTGGGTAGCTGCACGAGCTCGAGGGTGCGCGCGCGTATGTGTGTACATGTACGACCACAGCCGGGCAGTCTCCGAGGACACAGGTTTTGTGGCTCAGCAGGGGACCGAGAGGAGGTCGATGCCGCAATATTGGCGATGCGGCTATATTTGCAAGCAGTCTCGCAACCCAATAACCAAATACCTGAATTGCACACCACATTCCCGGGGTTTTACTTACTTGAAGTCCTCTGCAACGATGGAGATCCGGTACATTGCCCCGCAGCCTCCGCTGGTGTCCTGCACCTCCACCTGCTGCACGCTCTTGAGACTGGCTTTTAGCTTGTTTGCTATGGCCTTCTCTGCTTCTGAGGCAGAGACGGTGCAATACGCTCGCAGCTGGCGTACAAGCGGCCCCGCCTGGGCCCGAAGCATGGCTGATGGTCCAAAGGCGAATGGTATAGAGAGGCCTATGGATTTTGCTCAGCGATAAACCTACCACTTTAATAGGAAATCTGGACATGAAGTTATGCATAACGTTAGCAGAAGGCGGTGTTAACAGTGGGGCCCATCTCATGCTGTACGACACGTCATTTCTGTCCATTGTTCTAAAGGTTGGCAGGAACGCATCTAACTTTCATCAAATTATACGGCTTTGGCGCGGTAGGAAGAGCTATTATCAAATAACTCATATTGAGCACTGTGGACACTTGTGACTCCTTGTAGGTCGGCCGCCGGGACGCAGTCCCGTTGGTTGCGACATTAGATAACATTTGGCACCATGGCTCAACTAGTTTCCACGACGGCAAACACGCCGCTGACACGAATTGAGATGCCTTCCTCCAACAGCGGGGATGACGTTTTTGGCGGTACACGGTCAATACACAGCGCCTACGTTTTCAGCGTGGACAAGCAGATTGGAGAAGGCACCTATGGACAGGTCTTCATGGGGCATGACCGGAAAACTAACGACAAAGTTGCGCTGAAGAAAATCCGTATGGACACGGAGAAGGAGGGCTTTCCAATCACCGCTATCCGTGAGATTAAAATTCTCAGCACGTTGTCCCATCCGAATGTTGTCAACCTGCGGGAAATCGTGCGCTCCGAGAGTAAGCAGTGGAAGTTCTTCTGGCAGATTCCTTGTTTACCCTCGCAATGACCATTACTTCCCTTTTGATGCAGTTCACAAAAATAATAATTTTAAGGGGTCCATCTATATGGTTTTTGACTACGCCGAATACGACCTGACCGGGCTTATGGAGTCGACCAAGTATGTGTTCACAGAGCCGCAGGTGCGGTATATCCCACCATGGGACTTGGCGGTTGGTTGAGAACACAGTCATGTTATGGGCTGGGTCGCCTGCGGTTCGCCGCAGCGCAGGTTAAGTGCATCTTAAAGCAGTTGCTGAAGGGTCTGGCCTATTGCCACAACAACGGGGTCCTCCATCGCGACCTCAAAGCCTCCAACATTCTTATCGACACCAAGGGCACTGTGAAGCTGGCCGATTTCGGGTTAGCACGTCCCTACAATGCGGAGAACGAAGCTGGCTTCACAAACCGCGTGATCACGCTATGGTACCGGTGAGTACAGTCATGCTGTGTCAGCAGGTGCTTTATGTCTTACCCGTCGTGGGGTAGCGGCTGTGTACTGTCCTCAGCTTTGTCCTACTGGCATCTCAGCACCCAGTGCTTATTCCCTCCTGCCGCTTCTGCTATTTACCCGTGACCTCGTGCTCCCGCTATAGGCCACCCGAGCTTCTGCTGGGTGCCGTGAAATACGGAGGTGAAGTGGACATGTGGAGCGTCGGGTGCATCTTTGCGGAATTGCTCACTGGAAAGCCGCTTTTCCCAGGTACGTCTCATGGGCGTTGCGGGAGATGCTGCTGGCATTTCTGTCTCTGGGGTGGCACTGTCTGCTGCATGCATAAATGGGATGGCAAATGGGGCGAGAGGCTGCTTGCAACTAACTTAACTGTGAGCCCTCGAGAGTTCAAAAGGGTTCTTTGGAGGGGGCCCGAACGGTGGAGCAAATGGGAGGGCACCCTGGAAGGGGGAAAGGCTGCACGACTTGCATCTTGCACCTGAGGCTCCGGCTCCATTGCAGCGGCGCGGGATACGAAGGGTGGTACGCGCACAGCGCTTTCCAAACGCTAGTCGTGGCTTGTATGCAGTTGTTGGCCCGTATGCAGTCACAGAGTCTTTACCGACGGGCCTGGTGATTATTCATCGTATTGGTCTTCCACAGCAGCATTAAGGATAGTAGGTCTTGATGCACCAAGCGCGCAGCGACAGACCAGCCTCTGCCAGGCGATCAGACTAATTCATCGCACGGGTCCTCATATGACGGGTTGTTAGGATGTTAGCAAGCGGAACTTCACGAAACTGCAGCATGTCCCAGACACCGAACGAGAGCCCTTGTGTTTTTTCTGGGAGTTCTTTGAGGAGTTCTATGAGACGAACTTTGCGTGCTTGGTTATATGTACTCCCTGGCTGCCATTTGGGGACGCAATTATTACTCTTTATTGTAACAGGATTATGACACCGTGGCGACGGAACACGTATTCATTTGAAAGAGTAATATGATTAGCAGGAAGATTTGGTGCATGGCAAGAGATATTTGCGGTGATATGTGCGCAGACAGCTAATCGCTGCGACCCACATAACGCCTTCCGATCGTCCGTCGTTGTCGCCGATCTGTGCGTCTTTCGTAGGCAAGGACGACATGGACCAGATGGACAAGATTTTTCAGATCATGGGAGGCCCCACGGAACAGAACTGGCCCGGTGTCACCTCCCTCAACCTCAAGCTGTGAGTACTGCCCTGGGGCGTGTGTATTGTGTGTGCGACCGGCGGCGTTTTGAGGTGTTGTATGAGGCGTTGCTGCTGCTGCTGCCGCCGCCGCCGCTTTCCTAGACCTTGCGCGGCTGCCGGTTCATCGTGCACGCTTGCGTGCGTGCCTCCATTCGGCATTCTTCGAGGCATATATATCCAACGTTGTCAAGCATACTGAGTGAAGCATGAGCTTTGCTCTCATGCTTCACTCACCACCTAGGTTGTATCCTGGCAGCGTTGCATCCTGACAGCGTATACCTGACATGAAAGCGCGTCACGTATTATCGGTGATCACTGCTTTACGGACGCATGTGTGTGTGGAGGTTGGGCGGGGGAAAGAATCTTTCCCCTCGGGTAATTTCCCCGTTGCTTCCTTCCTGGTCTTGGTGTGCCCCGTTCATCAGCTACAAGAATGTGCCCGTGGACAAGTACCCTCGTCAGCACCGACTGCGGGAGATGCTGCGGAGCAAGGGCGTGGGGCGGCACATTAGCGACGACGCCATTCGGTTGTTGGAGAAGATGCTGTGCCTGGACCCCAAGCGCCGCATCTCGGCAGCTGACGCAGTAATGGTGGGTCTGATTTGGTGGTGCGCATCGGAACGTAGCGTGGAGTGTTGTGTGGGTCCTCCTCTTTTCAAGCTATGCAAAGGTGTTGGGAGCTGTTTTCCTCCGTTGTAATGGGGTGGTCAGGAGGCGGCATGCCGGGGAGTTCTTCCACAGGTTGCGACCTTTTGGAAAGGTTAGCGGCGGAACGGGTGTGCACGCAGGAGTACGGAGCCTGCTGATGCACAGTTTTACTTAGCTGGGGCTATGGGGGGCTATGTGGGCCTGCGTCGATTAACGTGGCAGTCTTGAAGTGTCGGCTGGCAACGCACACGCCTACTGGGCCGCTGCCGGGTCGCCGTTTAGTAACCTGAATCTCGGGTTGTCTTGATTTTGCGTCCCTATGGTTTCGGTTCAGACAGGCAAATAAATGGCCAGACTTTGTACACGAAGGCGGGCAGCTTCCATTCGAACGCGCCACGCACTGGTTGCCATCTCCCCCGTCTCGCTTATCGCTTAACCCAGACCCAAACCGATGCTGCTGCTGCTGTCGGCCCTGTGCATGTGTACAGGATCCCTACCTGTGGATGGATCCCATGCCTTGCGAGCCCCAGCAGCTACCGTGCCGCGGCTCGGGGCATGAATTCACGATGAAGAAACGCCGTAACGACCAGCACCGGGAGCAGCAGCAGCAGGTGGGCCCACCCATGCCTCTGCCACCGGTGCCGGGCTACGCTGCAGGCGCTAGTGCGCATCACGGCTACGGGCCTGGAGCTGGCCCCGATCCAAAGCGACCCAGGTGGGTAGGCACAGCTGTTTCGCGCCTCACTACTAAGACTACTACCTACCTTAGAGATTATTGTGCGGAAGCGGGGGAGCTGATCGGAGCAGCCGCGGGTGCATACCTGCAGAAGCACGTGTTTCATGCATGGAAGCCCCTTTAAGAACCCGGGCGTTTTTATCAATTGTCATTTTCGCGGCGGGCAATTGCGTACCTTAGGTGGTCTGCGGGTGCTTGGTTTTTTAATATTGGGGGAAGCATGTATTGGGGGAATTATATACTAGGGAAACGGGAAGGAGTGAGGCCCCTTTCTGTGTCATTTAGCTCTTGGGATGCCCTGATTAGTGTGACGTTGTGAAGGGGAATGTGCAAGGGAATCTTTCTCTTCGTCCCATACTACACTCCGGTGTTGGGGCTTCGGATGGGCGACGGGCGGGGCCAATCCCACGCGTATAACATATTTGCTCTGTTCTCCCGACAGGTACGGCGGACCAGGGCAAGGACCGCAGTCTTACGCCGGCGGCGGTCACCAGCGGCCGCCTCAGCAGCAGCAGCAGCAGTACAACGCCGGGGCATCGACCAGCAGCTACGGCAGCCACACTAGCTCTCAGAGCGGTTACGGGCGGCAGATGCCGGGAGGAGGAGGCGGCGGTTATGGCATGGCCGGCGGCCAGCAGCAGCAGTATGGGCAGAGGCAGGACGGTGGCGGCCGCGGCGGTCCTTCGGGCGGCTACACGGGCAGCGGTGGCGGCGGTGGTGGTGGCGGTGGCATGGGGCCCCCGCAGCAGATGGGCGGCAGCGGGCATCATTCTCATGGAGTCGGCAGCGGTCAGTCCTACCAAGGCACGCACCAAGGCATGCAAATGGGCGGCGGGGGCGGCAGCGGGGGTCCCGGCGGTTACCGCGGCGGGCCGGCAGGGGGACAGCAAGGTGGCGGTTACGGGGTTGGGGGTTCCCGGGGAACGCAGCAAGGACAATCGCAAGGTTGGCAACAGCAGAAGCGTTAGGCTCGCGTTGTGTTTTGGCATTACTAGGGCAGGAGTCGCATGGCTGGCAGTAGCGGAAGCGCTATTTCAATTGTTTCGTGCTGAGTTTGGGTAGCCTGGGGATGAAGATGTAGCATAGTTCAGGGATTGTTGAAAGGAAAAGACTAGGACCAACAAGGACGTGATTTTTAAGGGGTGTGGAGGAAATGGGCATGAGCTTCCCTCTACCTCCGTATGCTTAGCTTTTGTACGAGTGGGATGAGGTTGGATTTGGGTGAGTGGCTATTTTGAAGCGGCAATTCGAGAGCGGTGTGCTGAAGTGTGGATTGGCGTCCAGCGGGCAGATTGGGCTGTATCGTAATGACTTTTAACCTCCTGATTTTAGTAGCGACATGTCCTCCTGGTAATTACATGTCTGCCTCCATGTCTGCGTCCATCCACCGTTGATTCCCCGCTGTGCTGGCTTCTTTTTGCCAATCTCGGTCCGCAAACGACTTTTCGCCGGCTTGAAACTCATATTGGAAGTCTCGCTATACCGCACTTTTTAAACTTTTCTTGAATTTGCTTCTTGCATTTTACTGGCTTCTTGTCTCTATCGTTTTGACATGAGTTCTGAACACAAGCGCGATTATGCGCACGCGTTGGGCCGTTAGGTGGTGTTGGGTGTGGGTGCTTTCTGAAAACGGTGCAGGTGGGAAGATGGGGGGAAGGGGTGGGTTTCGTTCTGACATTTCTGTGTCGTTGGAAAGATGAAATTAAGGAACCACGCATGTACAAAGCTATAATCCGTCACAGGTGTCTGCGTGAAGTGTATTTTAATGGATTAGATGAAATGTGGTAAGCTGCTTGCTAACGTGCTGATGACAGCGCGGGAGCCAACTTGACGGTGCTTAGGACCACGCAGTGTATAATCCACGTTTCAAATGATGGTGGTTTTACTGCGCAAAGGCGGCGCTGGGCGATTCCGTTGGCGGACTCCAGGGAGGCTTCGCACCGTCTTAGGGAGTCCGCGCGGGGGTGCTTTTAGAAACTGAGCCGCGAGTTAGGGTGTTGACCGGCGAACCGTTATCCCTGTTGTTTGTTTTACCAACGTGTGTTTTGCTTTGCTGTTTTGTGGCGATGGCAAACTTTGCTGGCATTGCGGCGAGCGACGCATGGTCTTCGCGATGCAAGCAGATGGCTCGGGTCCAGGACAGATTCCATGGCTTTGTTTATTTCGTTTACAGCTAGGTTTATGTATCCCTATGAGTCCATTTCTAGGCCTGAGGCTGTGTCCCGGGACGGTTGCGCTTGCATGGCACCGGCAATGGCGGTCGCTCCTTGCAACTTCAGCTCAGTTTGCATGAATCTAACAAATAAAACATCGCAGTACTAGAGAAGCAGTTTGTTCGAGGAAGTACATGAAAGCGGTACCAACTAACTCCAGGGTGGGCCTCACTTCGAGCCAGGACCCAAACCGGCGTTGCCAAACAGCGTACGGCATGGTAGTACAGTGGTAAAGTAATCCCGCCATGCGTGATGGCGCTCCAGAACTCAACAGGTGAATTACGGTATGACGACGAGTAAAGTCGCTTAGGGGAGTCTGCAAGGAGAATAGGAAATGGCTGTCGGCACCCAAACGGAAACCAGCACCTTTCTTAATATCTAACAAACCCATACTTAACAAAACCAACAAGTTCTAACACGTGACGCTTAGCATATGGAGTTTCCCAGTTCTTATACCTATGGCGGGGCAAAGCGAAAGCGAAAGCAAGGTACGTTTGTTTCGTCTACGTCTTATGTCCTGCTGGCTTATGCTTTACCTTGAACTAGTCATCCAGCTCCCAAAGCTTGGTACCTTGGACGGACTGCGCAGGCGATTGTCTGCGGTCTGCCCTTGATTCACATGTTCGCGAGCATTTGAAATTATCATCTCTGAAGAGTCAGGATAGGAAGTTGATGGCATGGACGCTGGGGGAACTCGCTTTTTTTTGCTACACATCAGCAGTTGAACAGCAAGACAGCCGAGGGGTGTCCGCCAGCCAAGCCGTGCGCCAGACGGATTTCATGGAAGCTGCTCGCTCGATTGCTGCTGAACGCAACGCCTTTCAGCGACCTTCGGACGATGTCCTACAGCGTGTATCTGCTAATATGGCCACGCGATTCTGGGAGTCCCGCCTGGTTGAGGCGCTGGAATCCTTCATCACCTTACACGGCCCAGAACTCCCCAAAGGCAGCGCACGCGCAGCTCAGCCTGGCCCGGCGCCAGCGCCAGCGGCACGACAGCGCCGCAATTCGGCACCAGCAGCGCAGCATGGCAGCGGCTCCGCAGCTGCTGCGGCACCGATCCCATCCCAGCCCCATGCATCCCAGCCCCCGCCACAAACCCGCCACGACTTCCGACAGCCAGGGTTAGGCCTTCACGACACCGGCGCAACCCAGCCCGGTCCGTGCACCGCACCACCGGCGCACCGTGGCGGCTGGCGGCCCGTTTACCGAAGCCTCGGCACACAAACTTGGGCTGCGCCAGGTACACAGAGGACCATTGAAAATCCCTCAGGGACAGAGCCTAAGCGGGAGGAGGCGGAGGGGCCGGCATCAGTGGGGCCCCTGGGGCAGGTCCCGACCGCCGAAGCTGGGGTGCCGCCAGCGCCGCAGTACCGGCCTACTGCAGACCCGGCAGCGGCGCGTCACTGCGCCTTCACTGCTGCCACGACAGGCAATGCGGCACGGATGAGTGGCGCCGGTGGTGGGTGTGGTTTCGGGACACCATCGAGGGAATTGGGCAGACGGAGCGAGGTGCGTGTAGAGGGTGGAGGCGACAGGGGCCGCGACGCTGGCAGTGGCGGCGGTGATGGTGATGGTGAAGGTATCGGCGGCGAGGACGACGACTGCGAGCTGTTTACACAGCGGTCGGCCGTCGCCGGGTACGACAGGCAGACGCTGCGGCAGCAGCTGATGCGGCCGCCGGGCCCCCTGGGCACGTCCTGGCCCCGACATGAGCGTCAGGATCTCCACGGCGTCGTTATGAAGACGGAGGCGGATGTCCAGCCACAACCTCCACCACCGCCTCCGCCGCGGCACCCGCCGCCGCTACCGCCGCAGCAGCAACAGCAACCCCGACAGCGGCAACGCAACTCCTATGTACCGGATCAACCGTTGCCGGGATCTCCGCCTCGTCGTGGGGCCTGGGACCCTAACGGAGAATTCCCGTCGTACCGCGACCCTGAAGATGGACTGTTGTCGTCGCCGCCGCCGCGGCAGCAGCAGCAGCAGCAGCAACGGGGCTGTACGGCAGCCGCCGGCTGCCAGACCACTCCCGGAAGCAGGGACGTCACCGCCACCGCCGCGGCACGGCGAGCAGCCGCCTACGGAGCCGCTGACAATGACGATGATGTTGACGATAATGATGACGACGATGGCCACCATACAGGCCGACGGCATCAACATCACCATCAACATTCTCAGCAGCAGCAGCAGCAGCAGCGGCAGCAGGGGCTGCAGCAGCAGCAGCAGGGGCTGCAGCAGCAACAGCCGCACCATCACCACCACCACCACCAACAACAAGAACAACAGCGGGAGCAGCAGCAGGAGCACCATCACCACCAAAGGCGGCAGGCGGTCCGCGGGACAACGCAAGAGCCGCTGGACCGACGAGGGCCGCCGCAAGGTGTGCATCACCATCAACATCAACATAACCATCATCTAGCGGCTGCGGATATAGAACGGGAGGGCCAGCAGCCGCAGCAGCAGCACCACCAACAACAACACCAACAGCATCAGCACGCTCCATCAAAGTCCACGACACTGTTAGGTCGCACACCTTTGGCTAGGCGATTGGCGCTTGATGGACAGCCCGCGTCGGCCGTTACCACTACAGCAGGAGCAGCAGCTGCTGCTGCAGCTAGACCTGCGCCAGCAGTAGCAGCGACAACAAGTAAAGCAGCTGCTGGCGCGGGCATCGGTGCCGCCGCTGCCGGCGCGGGCATCGGTGCCGCCGCTGCCGGCGCGGGCATCGGTGCCGCCGCTGCTGGCGCGGGCATCGGTGCCGCCGCTGCCGGCGCGGGCATCGGTGCCGCCGCTGCCGGCGCGGGCATCGGTGCCGCCGCTGCCGGCGCGGGCATCGGTGCCGCCGCTGCCGGCGGAGGCAGCGGCAGCGGTGCGGGACCTTCGAATGCTGGCGAACGCAACGCCGTCGGCACTAGCGTACGGCTTACGGCTGGTGACGTCGACGCCGCCGCTGAAGGAGGTCCAGCGGGCAGGGTGACGGCGGCCTCTGGTTGCGGCGGCGGTTCCGGAGGGCGGTTTGCTGTGGCGGCAGCAACGACGGCGGTGGGTGACGGCAGCGGGGGTGAGACCGC